AGCCCCAGTAGATAGTTGTATGTCATAGTTGCACATCCTTCTAGTTGCTGTATGTGGGACGCGGCCTCAGCATGGCCAGAGAAGCGGTGCATCGGTGCCCGCCCGGGATCCAAACCCGGGCCGCCAGTAGCGGAGCGCACGCACTTAACCGCTAAGCCACGGGGCCGGCCTCACATAGTAATTTATTTTAAAATTTGGGGGAGCTGCCACATTATTTTCCACAGTGGCGTGTCTTACATTTTAAAAGGGCCATTTAACCACCCCCCGAGTTTCTAATACAACAGGTCTGGGGTGAGGCCCAGGAACTTGCGTTGTGACAATTACCACGTGGTGCTGAGGCTACTGGTCCAGGGCCCACACATTGAGACCTACGGGCTGGGCTCCAGACCCAGCGTTCAGAAAAAGTGACTCCCCGAAAAATCCCTAGTAAATATTAAGGGGAGTTTAGTGGGTGTAGGTACTCCCCCTCCCTTTTCAGGTTTTAACCATAAAGGCCACCCCTCCCCTTCCTAAACTCTCTGGGTCCTGTTGTAAAATAAAATCTTGGCTGATGGTATACATAGGACAAAAAGGAGTTCACCAGGCTGTTGTGAGAGACTTGGAGGCATACGGGAGGCACCGGGAGACCAGTCAGAGCATAGCAGGAATCGCATGAGAGGCCACGTCCCTCGGCCCAGCTTGGTGGCAGTGGAGGTGTGACAGGACGTGGGGTTCTGGTATATTTTAAGGGTAGAGGCGACAGGAGTTCCGATGGATTAGACGTGGGGTGAGAGAGAAGCAAGGGTCCCAAGCAATTGGGGGAGGGGTTCGGCCCGAGCAATTGGGGGAGGGGTTCATTCTCAGACACGGAGCAGCCTGAGGGGGAGCAGGCTTGGGGGAGGGAGGTCAGGGTTAGTTTCGGATGCATGTGAGATAACCAAGTGTCACCGTCCAGCAGGCGGCTGACAAAGGGAACAGAGTGTTCAAAGGAGAGCTATAGACAGGGTTCAGAGGTTGGTGGCATTTAGGTGGCCTTTAAAACCACAGCGTTATGAGAGCTTCAGGAGGTGCACACAGACCAGCACTGTCCAGTAGAACTTTCTGCGAGGACGGGAATGTCCCATATCTGTGCTGTTCGCTGCAGAAAACAGCGGCCACCCGTTGCTACCACTGAGTACCTGGCATGTGCCGAGAGTGACCGAGGAACAGTTTTTAATTTCATTCACTTTACATTAATTTGAATGTAAATCAAAACGTGCTACTGGGCACCTCATGTGGCGAGTGTGACTGAGGAACTGAAATTTTAAATTTCACTTAATTTTAGTTAATTTAAATGAAAAGTGCCACCTGTGGCAACCAAGCATGTGGCTAGTGCGACTGAGGAATGAATTTCTAATTTCACTTCCTTTTAGTTGACTTGAGTCTGAATTGTCACCTGTGGCTATTCAGCACTTGTGTGGCAGGAACCACCAAGGGACTGAATTTTCAATTTCGTTTTAATGAATTTTAATTAAATTTATTAATGAATTTAATAAAAATGAATTTTAATTAAATTTATTAATGAATTTAATAAAAATGAATTTCAATTAAATGTCAGTGGAAGTCGCCACCTGTGGCTACCATGCTGGACAGCACAGGTATGGACAGAGAGGATCCAGGGGCCAAGCCCTGGGGGACTGCAGGTTAAGGGTTTGGGGAAAAGAGGATGAGCCAGCAAAGTGGCCAAGAAGGAATGGCCAGGAGGCAGGGGAAACCCGGGCAGGGGAGGAACCTGGACGCCTTCAAAGAGGCGTATCCACTGGGTCAGGCAAGCAGAGGGCTGAGGACCGACTGGTGGGCTCAGCATCATGGAGCCTTCGTCACAAAACCTGTTCTCCCCATGTCGCTGAGGTGGGGATACAGCGAATGGCGGGGTTGGCATCAGATGCCAGGTGGGCTGGCCCAGAGCTCACGCCCCTCCTGGTCACGGTGACACAGGCGCACAGAGGGAAGCTCTAGCTGAGCTCATCCCCTGGGAGCTCCCATTTAATCCTCAGCAGCCTTGTGACTTTGGCATTACTCTTGTTGACAGGAAACAGGCTCAGGGGATGTCGCTTGCTCAGAGTCACACAGCAAAACAGTGCTTGAAAGTGAGTCTGTGGCTCTAAGGCTCATGCTCCTTTCTGCTGCACTCCATTCAAAGGGGCACACCCAGGCCCGGGCACAGCTCTTGCCTGCAAGGCCCAGGCCCACTCCTGGCCCCTGTTCACCTTAGCCCTGGCCCTCCTCTCCAGCCTCTCTTGTCCTGACCCATGAGGACAGGCAGACAGGATGGTGGTAGAGAAATGGTGAGAGGTGGGAAGGTGTGGCAGCGAGGCACGTGGGCCCAGAGTGGGCGGGCAGGCTTACCTCCGCTCCTGCTGCAGCCTCCGAGTTATCCTCTGTACCTGATGGAGCCTGCTCAAGACCCGCTCGTTCACCTGTACGGAGGTGGGAGAGAGCACAGGTCAGTGGGCTCCATTCCTTCTCCCGCTCAGTCACTCACAGATGGTGGACGCAGCCCCTGCTGTGTACTGGGGGTGCCGGCCAAAACCACCCGTGGCCCCCAAGGCCTCCTGCACCTGCTCCTCCCCACCTGCTCACCTCTCTTGCTCCTCTCCCACGTCCACTCCACTCACCGACCTCCAGACTGATGCCGAATGCCCTGTGCCACCCTCCTGTCTGGGGGCTCCCAAATACTCTTCCCCCGATATCTGCACAGCTCACTCCCTCAGGTCTGAGCTCACATGTCACCTGCTCAGAGAGTCCACTCACCTCCCACTGAACTGCAACACCCCCTCCCCAATTCCCACCCCGGAACCCCACCCACCCCGGAACCCCACCCACCCCGCCACTCTTCTCTGCTTCGTTTTTCCTTATGACACTCATCATCACCTCACATCCTGTCTGTTTACTCGTTCTGCTCACAGTCTCCCCACCAGAACATAAGCCCCCAAAGGACGGGGATTTGTGCCCGTATCCCCGTGCCGTGAGCAGAGCCTGGCGGAATGCGTGCTCTGTCAACGTCTCTGAACGAGTGACGTCACACAGTGATAAAGTGTGGAAGAACCCCAAGCAGGTCGACGTGCTGGAGATCGGGGCAGGAGGTGGTTACTTTAGTTAGGGCTGTCAGAGAAGACCTGTGGGCCAAGACCTGAACCATGACAAGGAGACAAATGGGCGACAAGCTGGGAGGAAAGGATTCCAGGCAAGGGAACGGCCACTGCACACAGTTTCTGAGGACCCCAGCCCAGACACGGAGGGAGGGGGATGTGACTAAGCCAAAGAGGAAGCTTAATAAAGAGGAAGCTTAATACAGTGGCTAAAGTGTGTACTGCTCCTGGGTGAGACAGACCTGGGCTCCAATCCCAGCTCTGCCACTTCTCAGCTGTGTGAGTTTGGGCAAGTTACTTAACCTCTCTGAGCCTCGGGTTTCTGCATCTCTCAAATGGAAATAATAATAGAACCTATTCCTAGGGGGTGAGCTAACACTCAAATGCCAGCTCCTTGGATCAGATGACTGAGACCCTTTGGGCCCCACATCCATCTGTTAAACAGGGCTCGGAGTACTGCTGCTTAGTGGGTGGGGGAGCAGGATTGAAAGAGTTCTGAGATGTCCTGTGCACAAAGCCCCAAGGGCAGGCCTGGCACGCGGTGGGGGGTGCTCTCAGGCAAGTGGTTGCTCTGCCAGCACCACTCTTGCACTGAAAAACCCTGTGAACACAGTGTGTCAGGGATGAAATGTTATTGCTAACGGTGGACGGAGGGATTCGTGGGAGGAGTCTTGAAAACACCATAGGAGAAGAGAGAGGCGAGGTCCTGGAGGAAAGAAGAGAGGGGAAGAGAGCTAAAGGATGGAGCAGAGGCAGAAGCTGTATAGTAAGAGATACACAGTATCTGGTTTATATACATTAGATCTGACTGACTTCTAGCATCTATTTTATGTCTACACATATACATATATATGAAACTATGTTACAAACAGCATATATGAAACTATGCTACAAATAGCACTGCTATGAACACCCTGGTAACTGTCATTGTTTCTGCTGGTACATACAGAGGACTGGAACTGCAGGCCACACGGTATGCATAGGCTCAGCTTAGTGAAGACTCAGGAAAATATAATTTATACCCGGAGCTGACCCTGCTCCCAGCACTCTACTGCTCCCACTGCCCTCAGCCTGACCTTCAAGGCCATCCCCCCTCTGGTCCTCTCCAACATCTCTGGTCAAACCAACACCCCTCCAGTCCTGGGTCAGCCCCCTGCCACCCAGAGTCCTGCAGGCACTTTTCCCTCCAGTCAGTGAAACACGCTCCCACTTCTAAGACTCGGCTCAAACGTCACTTCCTTTCTTTATTTTTACTTATTTAGTGTGTTTGTGAGGAAGATCAGCCCTGAGCCAACATCCATGCCAGTCCTCCTCCTTTTGCCGAGGAAGACCGGCCCTCAGCCAACATCCGTGCCCATCCTCCTCCACCCTACATGGGACGCCGCCACACCATGGCCTGACAAGCGGTGCGTCAGCACGCGCCCGGGATCCGAACCCGGGCCACCAGCAGCAGAGCGCACACACCCAACCGCCACGCCACGGGGCTGGCCCCTGAAACGTCACTTCCTTATCATCTCTCTACCTCGTCCCCTCCTCTTCATCTCCTTGACTCCTACCGCAGCTCAGGCCTCATCCTCTCCTGCTCGGACCACTACACCAGCCTAGCCTCCCCCTTTCCAGAGCTCCCCAACACCAATGTTATGGGTTGAATGGTGTCCCCCCAAAAAGGTGTGTTGGAGTCTTAACCCCCAGTACCTCAGAATGTGACCTTATTCGGAGATAGGATCTTCACAGAGGTATTCAAGGTAAATGAGGTGATTAGGGGCCCTAATCCAATATGACTGGTGTCCTTATAAAAAGGGGAAATTGGGACGGCACACACACACGGGAGAACTCCATGTGAAGAAGAAGGCAGAGATCTACAAGTCAGGGAACACCAAAAACTGCCGGCAAACCACCAAAAGGGGAGAGGCAGGGAACAGATTCTCCCTCACAGCCTCAGAGGAACCAACCCTGCCGACACCTTGATCTCTGACTTCAGCCTCCAGGACCGAGACAACACATTTCTGTTACTCAGCCACCCATTTGTGGTACTTGGTTACAGCAGGCCTAGGAAACTAATACAACAAAATTCAGAGATTTCTTTCATACACCCAGACCTGACCCCGTCCCTCCCCTGTTTGAAACCTTTCAATAGCTCCCCTTTGCTGTCAAAAAATTTTTTCAAACTTCTTGCCCTGGTGTTCGTGGCCTTTCAAGATCTGGGCCCTGCCTACTGCTCCATCCTCATTCTCACCAAGGAGTCTAACGCAGTGACTCAGCTGAGAGAAGCTGAGTCTGGAGCAGGGGCCGTGGGGATGGAAGGGAGGAGAAGGATCCCAGGGAGATTTGAGAGGCAGAATGGACAGGACAGGAGGAGCGACTGATGTCAGGGCTATGGGAGATCTGAAGAGCCTGATCAGTGGGGAGCATGAGAGGCACCTGTGAGCCGTGACGAGCTGACCTGGGTTGTTAGGGAAGCTGCTAGAGGAGACAGCTCTCCGGGTGCCCTGCACAGTGCCTGACACATAACAGGTACGAAATGAATGAATGAATGATTCATTCACCTACGCAAGGAATGCTGGGCATGTGGACAGTCAGAGACTGGGAAGGGGTGGTCATTTAGGCCAGGGGACCCCAAAACGGGGGAATCCGCACTCACCTACCTGCTCGATCTCCCGGCAGCGCCGACCGAGCGCCTGGTACTTCCTGCGATTTAGTTCCCGCTGGCGCCGCCGCCGGCCCCGGGCTGCCTCTTCCTCTTCATCTCGCTCCCGGAGCCCCGAGCCGCCCAGACCACCGGACACAAACTCCACTTCTGTCTCAAGCTCGCTCTCCAGGATGTGGCCACCGAACAGCGGAGGCAGCGCCAACTCCGAGCCTGGCGGCGCTGAGAACTCTTCAAAACCCACGGCTGCCATGGTCCTGTAGGGTCAGGGGGCTCAGGAACCCTGAACCCCTAGCCCCCAGTTCCTCCTCCTTCAGACCCAGGAGTCCGGGCCCCCAGCCCCTCCTCCTTCAGACCCAGGAGTCCAGGGCCCCCGCCTCCTCCCCCAAGATGCTTGAGTATAGACCCCAGTCCCTAGCAGACTTCTACGCCAAAGCAGATGTATGAACTACAATCCCCATCAGCCCTCAGCGTAAAAGCGCGGAGGGTTGCACGTTATGCAGCCGCAATGTCTTTTGGGGTTCGTAGTTTTCCCCAAAGCCACTCACCCCTCTCTCTGCTCCAGTTCCATCGCTCTCCCGCTCCGGGCACCCTAGGCCTCAGAACGTCCAACTACGAAAAACCTCTAGGTTAAGTCGTTCGCAAAACTACCTGTCCCATCACACTTCACGGCCACGGCATCCGGGACTTAGCCGCTCGGCCTTCTGGGAGTTGTAGTTCCCTATTTCCGGTCCGCTCCCCACCCCCCTGCACCTCCACCCCGAGTCCCGGCTTAAAGGCCTTGCTTTCTCGTCGAACGCCTCCACCAGTCGTCTGAGTTGCCCCCGTCTTTATTCTTGTCTCGACACCCTGTCGTCCGACTACGGCGATTCTCCGCTTAGCAGGCTCAGTTGGCGGCGGGCCGTAAGCCGGAGAAACCCCCTCTCCTCTCTCGTGCTCACCCCTTCTCCGCCTAGCGGCAGGTGCTAATAAAGTTGTTGTTCCAAACGCGGCCAGGATCGTCGCGGGGCGAGGACCAATCAGAGCGCAGCTTTGCCTCCGTAACGGCGCGAATGTGAGACGTCATCAGTGAGCGTCCACCGCGGTAGGGAAGCTGGTTTCTTAGACACCGTCGTGAGAGGAGGGAAGAGGTGAGTGTGCTGGAGACGAGGGACGGGCAGGAGGCCGGATTCTTGGTTCTGGGGGAGGAAGTGTGGAAGGAGAAAGGCGGGCCTTCATAGACTGACTCCCCAAAGAGCTTATATGGTCCTACAGTGTCACGGCTCTGGGGAGATGGCAGGAGCAAAAATTGTTCCTTGCCCTCTTAGCGCTTTGCCTGGTGCCTGGGGAGACAGGCTTAACCAGGTAATTGCTTAAATAATCACAAATGCGTGAAGCGCCTTAGGGTGCACACAGGGCGTGCGGGGGGGTGTGTCACTAAGCAACCTATGTAGTCTGGAGCGGGGTGCATGGGTCAGGGAGCTGGAATAAGAGACGAGACTGAAGGCTGAGGAGCTGTTGAGCCAGGAAGAAGGGAGGGGAAGAAGTTGGTAAGCGAAAGGTGGGTGAGAAGGACCCGTGGGCAAGGGGGATGGTGGCGGAGGTGCGGCTGGAGAGCTTGGCCCGAATCAGGCGAGGTCATCGTGCCTACTGCGTGCCAGGGGCTGCGCTGGGCGTTGGGGATAGTGAGCAATGACCAAAACGGACGTGGTCCCTCTTCTCACAGAAATTTCAGCTTAATGAGGGGGATGGGCATTAAACAAATGTTAGAAATACAGAGAATCTTAAGTGTTGAGGCAAACTTAGTGGCTCATAGGGTGTATAATGGCGGGATAGGATCTAGTCTAGGGGTCAGAGAAGATCCGTGCTGCAGAAAGTAATGTTTATGCCCCTACCTGAGGGACAAAGAAAATAGTACATTCAGAGACCTGGAGAAAGGGGACCATAATGTGGGTATAAGGATTAGGTAAAATTGTTCATTCGTTCACTTACCAAATATTTCTTGAATACCTACTGTGTGCTAGACAATGGTGGGGATATAGCAGTGAACAGACAGATATCGTCCCTAGTTTTGTTTATAGTTTACTGGGGAAACAGAGGAGAGAGGATATGAAGAGACACTAGAGTCTTATATATGGGGAGTGGGTTATGTTCTGTAAAGAAAGGAAGAGTTCCTCTATTCAGAGAAAATGAGAGTGAGGGGAGTTTTAGAGAAAGGCGTGTGTGCCATAATATAGGTGCATTTACAAGGAAAAGTGGTGTCTCATAAAGGGAAATGACTATAAAGGGGACGTTGCATCTTAGGGAGAGAGAAGGATGTGAGTGGAGACTGATCTCACAGAGACAACTGGACATCAGGAGTCTCAAACCAGCAGCTCAAGGGCCCTGTCTGTCCTGTAGTCTGTTTGGTTTGGTCTGTGCTATGGTGATTTGTTTTGTTTTTTATTTAAATTATCCATTTAAATAATAAAACTTTCAAACCGAGAGATTCCACATAAAAATCTGAATTTCTTACTTCTCATGAAAAAGATGAGAAAACCTGGCAACAGGGAGCCCACGTTCCCCCAGCAAGGCGTGCCTGAGGCCGAGCACTGGCTCCTCCTTTACACTGGGCCTCAGTCTCAAGTTCTCCAGGCGCCACTCCTCCCTATCGCCCAGTCCTCGATGCCTCACTCACTTATGTCTCCCTGTTACTCTGTGTGGGCAGTGGAGTTGGCAGCCTCTGCTTTTGTACTTTAGAGGAGCATGGTGTAGAAGGGAAGGGAACGAGGAAGGGGATTTGTTTTATGGAGAGAGGAGAGGAACAGGAAGAGGGAGCGGTTTCTTATTGGAAAAAAAAAGAAAGAAAGCAGTGGGGAGGACAGAGTGGTGGGGGTTGTACCTTGTTGAGTAGTGCTTCCCAACCTTTGCCACTTCAAGGGACTCACAGAAAATGCTAATATTTGTACAGCGCCTGGGGTAGATGAGGAGGCTGCTCGTGGCCAGAGGTGATTGGCCTGGGAGCATGAGACATTTTAGGACCCACCTGGTTGCCCTGATGGCTGCGGAGATCAGTATTTTAGGATGTCTGTCGCCCATTTGGGGCCCAACAATTGGGGAGAAGGGGTCTCTGTTACAGAGAAAAAAAGGATATGAGGAGAGGTCGCACCTCATCAAGGGGAGGCTGTATCTTTTAAGTCTCAGCGAGGTGGTGGCCTGAGGCACGTGCTGTGTCTTGTCCAGTGAAGTGGGTGCGAGAAGGGTAGGTGATGTGAGCGATGACGAGAGCATCTGGTTCTGGGAGGTTGGTTCACGGATTAACTCAGCAGGTCTTTATTGAGCACCTGTTGTGTGCCAGGCACAGTTAGGAGCTGGAGAACAAAGCAAATGAAAATGCCTGTCCTTGTGGAGCCTGCATGCTCGTGGGGTTGATCAGGAAGGACCAGGCCTCTGGGGGAGAAGCCCCTCCTGGTAACGAGGGGAAACCCTGCTCTCCCTCCCCACAGGCCTCGGGATGTCTCTGGCAGACGAGCTCCTGGCTGACCTTGAGGAGGCGGCAGAAGAGGAGGAAGGAGGAAGCTATGGGGAGGAAGAAGAGGAGCCAGCGATCGAGGATGTGCAGGAGGAGACACAGCTGGATCTTTCCGGGGATTCGGTCAAGAGCATTGCCAAGCTGTGGGACAGCAAGATGGTGAGCGGGCTGTAAATAGAAGCTCCCAAGAGGGGTGACATGAGGAGGAAATGGCTCTTCTTCCTGAAGAGTCCTAGGTTCTAACTCCCCTCTCCTTCCCGAACAGTTTGCTGAGATCATGATGAAGATTGAGGAGTATATCAGCAAGCAAGCCAAAGCCTCGGAAGGTACCTTCTCCCCCACCTCGCTCTCACCCACCCTCGCTGTTCTCCATCTAGGCCCCTGGGGTCTTTACTGCTGTAGCTTTGAAAGTTGAGTCTGTCTCCCTCTCAGCCTTTTCCAGAGCAGTATTCTCAATTATTAAAACCTCTTCTCACTTCCAACTTTGGGGAACGTTGGGTGTTCTCTTGAATATTCAGACCAGCTCCAAGAAGATGAGCCTGTTACCACCCCTTCTCTTGTCAAGGTGGGGCTCTCGAATGGAATTGTCAGCAGCAGGAAGCCGCGGGAGGTTGTCGGGCACAGGGGTGGTGTAGTCAGAGCACAGTGTCAGGGAGCCCCGCTCCTTCCTTCCTTTCCTTAAAGTTTTCCTGAGGCACCCTGGGGGCCAGGCCAGTGTGGGGTCAGCCGAGGTCCCTGCTCGCAGAATGCGTGGGGTCTGGCAGAGCAGACAGGCCAGGTCCCAGACAGTTGTTGGTGGGCGGTGCCTGCTGGGATGGAGGGAGCTCAGGACACTCTGGAGCCACAGGAGGGTGGGCTGACCCTGCCTCGGGGGTCAGGGAAGCACCAATACCTGAACTGGACTTTGAAGCATAAATACACACACCAGGCCAAGAACTGGGGCACATGTGCCTGGGGAAAGAGAGCTGCCTGTGCAAAGCCTCGAACATCTGGGGTGACAGGGAGGCCGAAGAAGGTGCCAGATCTGGCAGGGTCTCAAATGTCAGGCCGGGGAACGTCTCGATCCAGAGAGCCATGGGGAGCCATAGAAGTGACATTTCCTGACGTTGGGCCAGGCTCAGGGACTGAGTCAGACCCAGTCACACCCCGTGTCTGGGGGGGAAGGTGGGCACAAAACGTCTCAAAACTGGGTGTCAGTCATGCCTGATGGACGTGGCAGGAGTGCCACGGACCACAGGGGAGACCTCGGACCCTCCTGGAAGGTGAGGGAGGACTCCTAGATGCCCCCTGAGTCTTCAGGACGTAGAGGGATTTGAGGATCAGGGTTAAGAATATGGACTCAGGTCAGATCTCAGGGCTGCCGTTTGCTGGCTCTGTGACATCAGGCCATGTCCCTCCGTTTCTTTCTCTGCAAAATTGGTCTAATTTAACACCTGCCTCTCTGGGCGATGTGGATAAAGTAAGTTAATACCTGTAAGACACTTAGATCTGATGCACGGTAAGTCCTGCATGTGTCAGCCACTGTGAAAATACTAATACTAAAGCTGCACGTGAAAATACTATCACCATTGTCTTTATTATTATTATTATTATTATTAAAGTCTGAAGAGGAGTTTTCTAGAAGCAGATGTGAGGAAGGGACACACCAGGGAGAGGGAACAGCACGTGCAAAGGCCAAGAGAAGTGCAGCAGCCCCAAGTGTTCAGGGCACTGTAATCAGTCCTTTGTGGCTGGAATGTAATAAGACAGGGGTGGTGACAAGACGATGGGACTTGGGAGGTGGAGAGGCCAGGCTGTGGATCTGGTGAGTCATCACATATCCATGGAGCAACTCCGATGTGCCAGGCACCATTCTGGGCACCAGGGGTGCAGCCACGGGAAACAGACACCGTACTTGTCCTCACAGGGCTTCCAGGAGGCCTCGAACGTCAGTCTGGGCCATTAGCCTCAGGGACATGGGAGCCCCAGGAGGGTTTAGTGCCAGGGCAAGATGAGGTCAAGTCTAGACTGGCCTGGAGGACAGCCTGCAGGGGGAGAGGCGGGAGGTTTGCAGACACGTAAGCCCCTCCCTTTGTTAATTCTTCAGCCGCCTCCCCAGTCTCCCCCAGCTGTGGGGCCCGGGAGGCGGGTGCTTAGACACACTCACACTAGGCTGTTTCTCACCCGCACAGTGATGGGGCCAGTGGAGGCGGCCCCTGAATACCGGGTCATCGTGGACGCCAACAACCTAACTGTGGAGATCGAGAACGAGCTGAGTGAGTGCTGGAGAGGGCAAGTGGACATGGCCCTGCCTGGCGTCCGTCACACCCTCCTCCCATCCCCCAGAGAGGGACAGGCAGGATCCTGGGCTACCCTCCCCACTGGCCTTTCCCAGCGTCTTGCCCCAGGCCTCTCGTGTTAGCTGGAATCCATGTCCAGATGCTGTAACAGAGTGGCTTAAATAAGAAGGAAGTGTAGGGCCGGCCCCGTGGCTTAGTGGTTAGGTGCGCGCACTCCG